GTACCCATTTCTGCTGTCTCTTTTATACTTGATATTCATTTACATAGTAAACAGAGGCCTGTTTTAGGCCCCGTTCATGAAATATGCAGGTTGCAATTAAAATTTCCGAGTGTGCTTTCGCAGTTCTTTCCCAGAAAAAGACGAATTACGGCTCCTTTACTTCGTTTTTATTGCCGGCAAAGCTGCCATAAGTCGCTGCCGCGTCGCGTCGTGACGGCTTGCTCCATCCGGAAAGAGAAGACGAGAAGACAAAGTTTCCGTTTCGCTCTTTCGTTCGTGGGAGCGCGCGTGTGATGCGGCGCGAGGAATAAAAAACCCGCTCTCTTGTTATAAATGTCGACGTCGCGACGACGGCGTCGATGTCGTCATCGTAGCAATCAACGGCACCAGTCGTCAACGCGCCTCGTCTTGTGTTCCCTGCTCCAACTGTGATACAAGCCCGTTTTCACACCAACACAAAAAATTAACGATAAAAGTCAAAAAAGATTATGGACGCCTGTTAAAACTGAAAACTACGTACACTATAAGTAATGGATAGAGTACTTACACAATTCTATTTTAATAATGTCAATTCTCCAAACTGTAACCTGATCTAATCCCTTGGTGCGTAGCACTACCCCTGATGCCTCGACATTTCCTTAATAACTACCCTAAATCTTTGCTGCATACCACTTCAATTATGCAAATCAGAGAGACATTTTAAATAAACGAATTAGAAGAATTTCATTCAGTTTTCAATTGGCTCCGAACAAAACTTAGCAGATTAATCAATCGCAGTTTTCGTTGTAAGAAAACTATGTAAAGAAATAAGTAATTTTGTTTAATTTGAGACGAGAACTCGACGTAACATTTGGAGCTGACAGGCTAACAACTGCACAACAAGAAGGCATTTCAAAAAGACTAGATATAGACAGCCGCATTTACAAGAAAGCTGCACTATTCCTGCCGAAAATAAATTCACGAAGAAAAGACAAAGTACGAAGACAAGGCAACGTAAACGTAGCCAAGGGAGATAGAATATGAATAAAGACATTCTTAAGATTGTTTCGTGCAGTTGTACAAAAGGAATTTCATTTTATGTCGCGGAAGAGCTGAAATTTTACGAGTACCTCTGCTGGCACTACATTCTTTAATTTCTGGCTTTTGCGAAGAACGAAGAGAGAGAAGCCAGAAGCTCATATTATATACACACAGAGCGAAAGCGCGCTTCTCCGAGTGATTCCTGGCTCAACGGAATTACCTTACATTTTTAATCGTCAAACGTGGAAGTTCTCAAATACTTACGACTACTAGGTACTACTGAATCGTTATAATACATAGGATAATAAAACAAAACAAGATTGCCGCAATCACAATGTCCTTACTTTGAACTATTCGCATTTTCTCCGCGCAGAGAAATATTCAAAAATTCTCATTACTTTTTTATGTTTTATTGAGAACACCAAGAAGTTAATAAATAGGTAATAGTACCATATAATTCCGACTAATTCGTAAATTAAAGAAGAGACATGCAGTAAAATCTCAATTTACATATCCTAATTATAAACCAATTACGACTTTGAACTTCTATCTTTAACTGCGTCAAAGCAAAGCCTGTAATACACTCGCTGATCGCAACACTATGTAAATATCTGACTATTAATTCGTTGAAATCATCACTCATATTACATTAACTTCATAATTTACAGCTAATTGTACATGTGCCAAGATATTGATAAACGCATCCAAACTACTTTGTTATTTAACAATTCATCAATTCCGTCATCAACAACAAACTTTCTAATTTTGTGTGAAAATGTATTCTGCATACGTTTTTTTTTTAAGATTGTGAGTCTTGAGTACAGTTAAGTTTTTTTTTTAATAAACACAACAGAAAACAACCGTTTACTTTACAAATATTTCTGATTTGGTGACACGTCACAAAAAACAGTTTTCGATAAAAAATGTCAAATCAACCACTCCTATCTAGCAATAAAAATGCACCATTGTATTACGAGAATGAACAGTCACTATATAACAATTTAGGTATGCAGCAAATACCTGCGTTTACCTAATCAATTATGCACAGAATATCGCAATGAATTCTAAACATATGTAACCTTTTTATTTGCATATCAAAAGAAAATTAATTATATGGGTCAGTCACATTAATTTTTGTGTACAAGTTGTAAAGAAAATTGTTCACATGCATTATTTGTAGATAAGTATTTCTGTGTGTTAATTCACGCAATACCTATTTCAAAAGCCCATAAACACGCAAAAATGCTCGACTAATAATGTAAGCATGCTCAATTACTATTGTTTCATGGTCAATTAATGCAGCTCGATCGACTGGTATTTCACAAACACAACCAACCTCAATAAGATGAAATAATAATTTATTGCAACGTGACCATTGGTAAAGGGAAATATCTACAGACCCCACTAAGTAACTGTTGCAAAAAAAATATTACAAATATCTATCGGCTAAAACACTTAACGTCTAAATTTAGAAAGCTACAAATGCGTTTTCAAGACTGTTTCAAAATCTGTGAAAAAACAATTAGGTAGATGGATACAAAAAAAATAAATAAGACTTTTAATGTGAAAAACTAGTTAAATACCTGGCTGATGTCTAAAATGAATATAGAGGTAGGTATACCCAATTATGCATCAAAAGAAACAAAATAATTGGGTATTTTAAAATGTATTTATATATTCCATTGCGATAAATTATGATAAACCATTTGTGGTTTAAGTTACGAGACAGAGGCAGGTATGAACATAGTTTTGAATAAATTATATTAATGCACTATTAGATTTCTTTTTTCAAACAGTGGTAAAGATTCTTTTATTTATACATAGTGTTAAAATTTAGTAAACTGAAAATTTCAAATACCAAAAATGTGTTGTTCCAAGAAAATAATATAATAAAGTTGCTTAAAATAGTTTGACTAATAAATCCACAGGATGTACTTAATAATATTTTGTTATTCGTTCGGTTTTGGTCTTGTTAGTACAAAGAGAGCTTTGGTCTTTGCTTTGCATTTCCGCAAGACCAAAACCAAGACTGTAAAATCAACATCAATTTTGTTCGTCACTCTTCAGCACAATTCTCCGATTTTATTTTTTCAAGAGTGAAGGATTTATGTCACTGGAACTTCACAAAAAAAAAGAAAAAGAGTATGAGTACTAAAAATATAAAGAAAAAACTTGAAAAGTGCATAAATCTTTTTCGAATATTCTTGTTAAATATTTCTCTCCGTAAAATTTCATTGAAATTCAGTTAAGTGCATCGCCGAAGAAAAAACGTTAAAATGGAAAAATTTTATTACATTTCTAAGAAGCTGCCACGACCGAAATGATTTGACAAACTGAGGTTTCGATGAAATCACTCACGTTCTTTCATCAACGCACACGTAGAAGAATGTACGTCTCACGTATACGGTGAGAATCATGCTGTCGTTCATGAACGGCGATAATTATTGCGTATTCAAATGAACAGCTTTACTATTTCTCACGTTATTTAACAAACACTGAGTGAGTCTGCAAGACCCGTTAATGACACGGTTTTCACAAGAACCAACGAAGCCTTTCAGGCCGTCTGTTGCATTTGCTTGTCCGTACTAGTACATAACATTCTTTTATTACGTGTAATACCTACTAAGTGGTTGCGATACCTACGGTAATCTGAGTTTTGTTAGTTTGCAATTTCCTTCCTTCCATAAAACGACTTGCCTTATTATTGCGATCGATATTACCTGCACTCTGCACTTAACAATCAATCCTCGTCGAGCGATACAAAAAAAGCATTGACGATTTAAACTCCAAGCGGCGATTCACAAATAAATTGCCATAATCGTAACGTAGAGATAAATTTAACTGTTCCAAATATTTAAAATTTAGTGAACAACTGCTCCACTTTTACATTGTGCCTGCTATATTTTTATGGTCATAAATAAAACACGTTTTCGTTTATATTTTGATAAAAGGATTAAAAGTGTAGGTAATAAGTTTTAAAGATCCAGAAAATTTTGTCGAAATATAAGTTGTTGTTGACATAAGTGACTAATCCCTGCATTAATCGGTAATGTATTGTACCTACGTTTATATCAAGGATAGTTTTTTTTTACATCTAGGCATATTCACATGAATGATATAGCGGCATATCGTATTTAGCCGGCTTGTGCATTATCAGAAATAATCTTATCGAAATAAAGAATAAATTACATAATACGCGGTACGTAAATACGGCTAATAAAGCAAACACCTTTCACAGCAAATAGCAAAATAAGGACGATCGTCACGTACTAATCACAAGCCACTATATTTACATTAATACAAATCCCCGAATGGAAATATGACAAACAATCGTTTATTTGAGCGAGTGAAAATTCAATTTTGTTTACATATATCTGAGCGAAGATGAAATCAATTATAAAGGAAGTTAGTTGTATCGTTCAAGTAAGCACTTGGTTACCCCACCGGAAAAAACAAATCATTAGCGAAACGAAAGGATCGACAATGGGAAAATACACACAATAACGGTACTTCTGGCTGCACTTATTTGAAAGGGGGAGCGAAGCGACAAAGTGCTAAAAAATGTATAAACACCAAGCAGGTGATTTAAACAAAAAAAAAATACAAGGTCATCGCAGGTATAAAACACGATGCCATCACCTGTTTGGATTAAGATAAAAATAATCATAAGCAGAAAGCAATAAATTGCACCGAACGACGTTAGAGTAAATAAAATATATATATACCTATATATACACATATGTACTGCAGTTGTGATTTCTGTTAAACTAAACAAGTTCGCAGAATTATTATTAACAAGGTTAGTTTCTTTGCCACGACTAACGGACCGTGCTTGCTGAGCCAGAACGTGCTTTAAAAGAATCTACCGGCGAGTTGCCGGCTACGTCCGTCGTTCTCATTAAAAAACATCTTAAAGCAAATAACGACGATGATTACAATCTCATACTTATGCTAGAAGAAGAAATTACGAATAATTTTACCTGTTGCCAATGGTCCTCGAGACTTGGCTGCGCCGAAAAGTACCCAGTATCGTGAATGTCTTGGAGTTCTCGGAAGATATTAACGCTGGGTAATATATCCATTTTGTCAAGTCAGATGTAACTTAATTCACAACAAAACACAGCAAACACATGAAATCTTAAGATCGAAAAGGTCGAGTACATACGATCACCTCATTCGACACATACCTTTAAAAAAAACTCGCACAGAGATAGACAGATATATAGGAAGTTAAGCTTTAGGAGCAAGTTACAGAGAGAAGTATCGATTGCACACTTATTATCGTACAAACGCGAATCTGAAGTGTTTTAGCGTTCGTTGAAAACGCAGTGCGTCGCGTGTTAACTAGCCGCACACCAACAAATATTGGAAAACGAGAAACCACCGTGTAAAATAACTATGCAACATTCGTGTTTATGGGCAAACCGATGAGCTACGAACAACGTTTAGTGTTCGTATTATATTTAAAGGGCTCAAACGAAAGAGTTCACACAATGGAAGAACAAGCGCCGCAGCAATAACAAACAAATCGTTAGAGAGACACGCGATACGTCTTCTACTTATGGCCGATGCGGCACGACTAACCGTTCGTTCCACGCCGCGCGGTGCTGTCGGGATGATGAGAGCAGCGAATCGTGATTCGCCAAGCGAGCAACGATGGCGCCACAAACAAAATCGTTTCGATCGTGTGCGCACAGACTATGCGCAATACGAACGGAATTTCACGGGCAAAAAAATGTTAAATACTACACAACGCTATCTTAATAAGAGTAACGCTAGGCTTCCCTGGTTGTGAATGAATTCACTACGTTTATAGTGTGTGACCGTTAGTATCCATTCATATATGTATTTACTTATTTAACAAATGTTTAAGCCAGAAAAAATATCTCAAGTTACGCAGCACTGAATTGCCTAAATTTTGGTAAAAACCGCATCCAAATCGGTCGAGAAATAACATAGTAATACCTGTTTAAAATTTTGGGGACATTCGCGGTCCCAGACATTTGCGATATTGCCATTAAGTGGGACATTTGCGGTGCTCGCCCATATCAATGTACGTATTTATTGACAGGTACGGTTCAGGTAGAAACATCCGCGGTGAGCTAAACAAAAAAATATAAAGAATACATAAGGACACCTGGGATGTTTCTACCTGAACCGCACCTGCCAATAAATGCATAAATGAGGATGAGGACCGCAAATGTCCCACTCACTTAGTGAGTGTACCGCAAATGTCTGGGACCGTAAATGTCACGACACCTATTTTGACAAGTGGTGTCGATGTTTAAGCGATGTTTACTTCCGGTTTTTTTTTTAAGGAGATTCCCGACGAGTGCAGGTGCATTCTGACCTACTTAGTTGTGGGCTACGGTATAAAAGAACCTATAACTATTATTTTAAAAATTACGCTCTATTATTGATAATACATGTAACAAATTGCTTATGCCTTACAATCCGCCTAAACGTTAGTTAGCCGCTTTTGAAACTTATATTGCTTTCAGAATCGCTTATAGCAACAAACTGTGACTCGCGAGTCATACGTGACTCTTTGACTATAAGAGTGTATCTCTATTGCAGATAACCAGCACCTGCAGGCGCTAATGAACGCTACAATCGCGTTTGGAGTCAAAAAATTGCCTATTATGATCATTACTTACCGAATAACGCAGCTATAAACCATGTACAGGAAGTTGTGGAAGGGTGTTATATGAGGAAGATGAAAATACAAATACAAAGGTTATAAATGAGGATGTATTGAAAAGAGCGCAGGATAGCAAAGGGCTAATAAGGAAAAACAAAGAAAGAAATGAGAAAATTGGCTCAGGATAGAAGGGTCTGTCTATTTTTGTTTTTCTTGAAAATTTGGTTCTTCTATCTCGAAGGTTTACAGACCAGTGGCATAGGAGGGATTAACAGTAGCGATTTATTCGATTTGGTTAAGTATAACGCATTAGTTATGATCTTTGCGACTTACTTATTATTACTAATAAACATTCATTATACGTTTACTTCAACTTCAATGTTTCTAAGAAATGATCAGTGTGTACAAATGAAATCTATTAAAGGCAGTCTTAATATTTACAAATACGCATTTGCTGCATACTATTTATAAATTACGTATCGGAAAACAGTCATTAAAAACAATGACCCAAAGTAATAATATTTCAAAAATACAATTCAATCTCTTAATGAATGGATCATCTAGTATCGATTAGACATATGCGCATATTTATGTATTGAAAATTATCTTTATCTAATTGTCTGACCTTCTTGAAATGAATTATTCATACAGTAAACTATTGGAGAGAACATACGAGGGTGGATTGATAAGTTTCCGGCCTGACCAAGAAAAACAAGGTTTTTAAAATTTTTTTTTTTTTATTTCTCAACATAATCTCCTCCAAGGCTGATACATTTCTCATAGCGGTGTTCCAGTCTATTAATGCCATCTCTATAGACTGATTCGTCAAGCTCCTCAAAATAACCATTTACAGCTTCGATTACTTCTTCATTGTCCGCAAATCTCTTACCGCCAAGCCATTTTTTGAGATTAGGGAACAGAAAATAGTCACTCGGGGCTAGGTCTGGAGAGTAAGGAGGGTGCGGCATCAATTCAAACTTTAGATCGTTGATTTTAGCCGTCGCAACGATTGACGTGTGCGCTGGTGCGTTATCGTGATGAAACAAGATTTTTTTCTTCGCCAGATGAGGTCGTTTAATTTTCACCTCGTGGCTCAAACGTTGCAATAAGTCTGCGTAGTATTGACCAGTGATAGTATTACCCTTTGCAAGGTAATCAATGTATATAATACCTCTTGCATCCCAAAAAACAGTAGCCATAACCTTGTTCGCCGAAAAAATTGTTTTTGCCTTCTTTGGAGTTGGTTCCCCTGGTCCAATCCACTGTTTAGACTGTTCTTTGGTTTCAGGAGTGTAGTGGTGGACCCACGTTTCGTCAACGGTTACGAATCGACGCAAAAATTCGCTTGGATTACGCTTATACAATGACAAATTTGCGGTAGAAATGTTTTTTCGAATCAATTTTTGGTCGACTGTTAGCAAACGCGGCACCCATCTTGCACAGAGCTTTTCCATATGCAAATGTTGGTGCAAAATATGTTGCACACGTTCATATGACATCTTACAGGTCTCAGCTATCTCACGCACTTTCAATCTGCGGTCTCCCAGCACTATTTGATGAATTTTTTCGATCATATCTGGAGTTGTGACCTCAACGGGGCGTCCTGAGCGAGGCCCATCAGAGGTGCTCACACGACCCTTTTTAAACTCGGAAACCCACTGCTTAACGGTTGAATATGACGGGGAGGATGTCCCCAGTGTTGAGTCCATCTCTTTTTTAATTTCCTTCGGCGTTAACCCCTTCAAATAAAAGTATTTGATGACAGCGCGATTTTCCTGCTTTTCCATTTTTACGAAAACCACAGAGGCGTCTTGTTCAGCGTGCTGTCAAACCTACACTAGCAAGGAGATCGGGCTAAAACTATAGCTACAAGCTATCCAAGGATGGTACTATAGAATGTCACCTCAAGGTAGGCCTAGTGGCGTCATCTCTTGGTTAGGCCGGAAACTTATCAATCCACCCTCGTAAATCCTATTTTTATACAATTTTAAATTCTTGAAGTTTATTTCTGTTGGGTGATTAACAGCTGTCGACAAAAGATTAACTCATGGTCCAATTATTTACTGTTATCAGTAATTATTAAATAACTGAGAGGTCATGACAGTTTACGTTTATAATGATTCATTATCGTATTAGTTGTTATTTAGTGGAATATTGTTCATTTCTCAATTAACTTCTCAATCATTCTTCATATTTTCAAGGAAAGTTTTGCCAGGCAAACGGTAGTGAACCTGATCAAATGCACGATATTTGAAGCAATTAACAATTATTGTTGAGCATCAGACCATATCCACCCTTTGTAAGAACTATTTAAAGAAGATTCGGTACATTCAAATTACTTTATTTATTTAAAATTGCAAGATTGAGCAATAATCAATTACCAGAATCGAGTCAAAAATGAGATAGGGTGATGAAACGGATGTCCGTTTTCAATCATCTTAACGGTGTTAATAATAAGAACATAGTTCTTGAGGATGAATATCGTGTACACCTTATGATTTTGGGTAGTCCCAAATGAAGGGGACATGTGTCTATGTATCTGCAGAAAACCCAAGAATATCGAAAAAGCCCATCGTTACATTACGTGATATTTATAAAAAGAAGCCTTACCTTTTGCTTTCATAAATTTAAGCAAAGTATATGCACAAAAAAAGCAAAGGAAAAGGTTTTGTTTCGAGGGTTTTCTTTAAAGTAAAAGGTTTTACATAATTTGTATTTATAAAAAGAAGCATCTGCTCAAAAACTAAAGGATTTACTTCTAAAAAAAGGAATCTAGGTTCACAACAACTTTTCTCGCTCTTTTCAACTTTTCAGTAGCTGCCCAGACATCACACAGCTCGTAACGTAAAAAGTGGAGCAGCCGTGTCACCTTTACAGAAAATGGAAATATTTCTGCGTTATTGTGCGATCCGTTTTAAATTTGTTACCTTTCAACACTGTTCGAGTAAATCAGGAATGTATGCCCAAGATAAAAATGTTCATTCTCTCAGAGTCTCTGAAAACGAGAATCGAGTCTCCGTCTCTCATTGAGTCTCTGTCTCTCATCGAGTCTGTCTGGTGTCGCTGAGAGAGACTGTCAAAAAAATTGTTTAGCGTCTCTGAAGGAGAGACTCGAGTCGTTAATAGAGAGATCCTCATTTCGTATCTCTAAACGAGAGACCCGAATCTCTGAATGAGAGATTGGAATCTCTCAACAAGTAGTGTCTCGATAGACATGGTTAAAGTTCAACATATTTCAGTCTTTCTATAAGAAACTCTAGCCTCTCAATTTTTCAGTTTTATTCATTCAGTCCCTCTGTGAGTGACTCGAATCTCTGAATTAACAATTTTATCGTTCGAGTCTCTCATACAGTGACTGTGAGAGATCCATAAAAACACCTAGGTAAAAGACTGTGAGAGACTAAAAATTTTTGTCTAGGGTGAAACAAATAAAATAAACAGCTGTCACGCAACACACACACACGTTGATTGCACAATGCAAATTTCAACTAGTTTGTGGAATTCGGTAGGAACTAATCTGTACCTTTCACTTTATTAATATGAATTAAATTATTAATATGAATAGGAATTGAAACAAAAGCTTTTACTTCTACCTTTTACTTGAATGTAAATGCTTCATTTTTATAAATACGGCATAATGTTTAATGTAGCCTAGGACCTTCCGAAGACTTTATACATATAGATATAAAACCATTACTAAAATATACTTTAGTTTCTCAAAAAACAGCAATTTCGATTATTAATAATCTGTCAATGCAAATTTATGTCGAGCTGTTGTTTTAGAGGAGACATGGTATGATGCCATAAGCAATTGTAGCAGGTTCGAAGTGGTCTGTGGTGATGTACTAGAGGTATATTTTGAAAATCGATGTGTACAATTTTGTTTTTCGTCGTTTTTCTAATNGTTCAATCATGAATAGTAGTGCGAGTCGAAAACAAGCGTTAAAGCCTTTAATATGTCTTCAA